ACTGTGGGTCCTGTTAATGAGTGTGCGTTATTGCTGAGAAAATTAACTGCACACATCAAAGATGTTGGAGAAAAAAATAAATATGTGCAATATTTTCTTAACAAAAAGCCTAATTTTCTTTGGCACTGAACTTCCTAGCTCAGTTCTCCTCAATCCCTCCATAAATTCTTGTAGAAATCACTGCAGTTCACGTACTCCCAGTCAGATTTTCAGTTTCTAAAACATCAGCAAGCCAAGAGAAACCTCTGTAACAAATTTGATGTTACGTGTATTCAGCATCAGTATTTGCTCCAATGGGCTAATTATGGCTTGCAACATTGAATTTCAAACTAATGGAAGCCACACTAACTTGTGCTGAGATATCCTTAGGCTAAAGGAGCCCTTGGAGCAAAGCATTCCAGACTTCCCAACTACCGTTCTTATTATTCACAGCTGATTACTTTTAGCACAGCACTTCCTAATTCAGACAGACAGCCATTTCTTTACCACAGTGACTTACAGAGAGAGCATCTGCTTTTTAAAAATCACTCTGACAAAACGATGTCTGACCAAAACGGCAGAAGCGCGTATGGAACAAAGGAGTGCCACTGAATTGCAGTGCCTGCTGACATTCATTGACCCTTGCTGAACATTTACAGGGAGCAAACAGTGGCTGTGAGCACAGCGAGGCAGTGGGTGCTGCGTTTCAGCAGTGGTCACAGTGGGATCACCACCACTGGTGCTGTCATGAGTGCAGCACACGGCTCTTGTTCATTGCTGGTGAAAATGCATGGCTGAACGCGGTGACTGTGTTGAAAAACAGCATTTTGTAGCTGAGAATCTGTCCTATCAAACAGTGTTACTTTGCTCCTTGTGGCTGCTGTAAGTTCCATAGATACAAATAGGAGGCATTACTTTCGGAGCGAGCTACACGGCCCAAGAGAATTCCTCTTCACTCAGCGCGGCCCAGGCAAACCAAAACAACTAAAACTACTCCACTCAGTATGAAAGGCTGATGCTTTACCATGCCTCCAAAGCACTGAATACTATTCACATATCTGAAAGGATGGATGAATTGCCATAACCTGAATAAAAAGAGGGGATTGGTACACAAACAGAAAATCCCACGGCACCCTCCTGTTTACAGCTCACTAGGAAAGCCTCATCACCACCAGCAACACAAGTATTTTTCACTTCTCAGAGGGAAGGTGGGAGGTAAGAAATCGGTCATCCTCAGTGATCCTACAGACATCTTTCCTTACAGTCCCACAGCTGGGATGTATTTTTCTTCAGTTTCAACCCCAAACCCTCAAGAATTGCAAGAGCTTGTCACACAAAGTAAGAATTTCCAGTCCCGTGAACCCAACCTGCACCAAACCAGCCTGGTTAACGAGAAGCAGGAGCAAACAATTTTTTCTAATTTGGAATTCTAACATGGAAATGCATGTCACATTACATTCATGTATTACTCATGAATATGGGCATGGAAAATAAATTCATAATATGCAACAGACCATAACCGACATTGTTAGAATGGCAGAAGGATAACCTTGAGGCAAAGGATGCCCTCATTTCTTGGTTTATTGCCAGCCTTCTAGAACTTAGAATTGTGAACAGGATTAGCATGAAGTCAAGCGAAGAAGATACATTTCTTTACACAGTATAGATTTATTGTGTAATTCAACATTTCCATCTACAGAGGACGGAGGCCATGGAGCACTTCCATCAGCCTTCTGCACCTTGCCCACCTCTAAAACGTAGCTGATCTCAACAAGCAATACCAAACTTGCCTGTTGTATTGAAAAAAAATAACTGGAAGAACCACAAAGCCTGAAGCTGGCAATTCACACTTTGCTGCTACTGTTTAGCATCTAAAAGCCTGACAAGAGCTTTTACCTTTCACCAAAGCATAACCTTGGAAAATTGGATAAAAACCTGGACTCCCAAAGTAGTAATTAATTTCTGACCACACTGACACAGAGACCAAAAGGTTCCAATTTAACTGAAGTGCCCACATTACAGCACCCCAAATCCCACCACAGAGTGGTGCACAGTGCACTTCAGCACAGGAAGGAACTGCACAGAATATATCTGCTTCTGTTCTGATTAATGACACAACTTAAACTGAAGTAGGGTCAGCTAAAATGTAATTTCTGCCCATTAAATTAAACCCAGTGCAACATGGAAGGAAGAGTAAGACTGCTGCCAAATCACACTGATGGCATCAGGAGTAAATCCTTCCACGTGAGGGCACTGAGGCCCTGGGAGCTGTGGATATCCCATCTCTGGGGGTGCCCAAGGCCAGCCGGAGCTCTGGGCAACCTGAGCTGGTGGGGGGCAGCCCTGTCTATGGCATGGGGTGAAATCATGTGGTCTTTCTGGCTCCTTTCAATTCAAACCATTCTGCGATTCTTTAACATTCTTACAGACAGTAGATTCCTCCAAATGGCAAATCAATCAATATTTACATGTCAATACTTACCCGACTCTAATCCACCATATCTGTAAGGATACTGCACACAAAGACACAGCTGCAAACCAATCTGAGTCTTCCCAGCAGAACTTTCCCCAGCAAGTTCTGTGATTCCCACTAAAGGAATGCCACCTTTCAACAAGTCATCCAGCACCGAACATCCCAGGCTTAGCTTCCGGCACTGGGAGGAGAAACAATCCTTCTCTTGGTAGAGCTGAAGTGCTGTGTGGTTTTTCAAAGGATTAAAAAAAATAGACAGAAAGAAGGAAAAATTCACTTAGTATCTTTCTAACGCACAGTGACACAGTACAGATGTTGATGCTGTAGATTTGTACCTACAAGGGATGCCTCCTTTGTCAATGGGAGAATTCCCCATTCAGCCCAAGCTTCCTCACAGAACCTACTGATTGAATGCCTGTTTAAAACCCAAGAAATTACCCTGAGCTGAAAAAACCTTCTCCTTTCTTCGCCTCTAAGGAGTCTCCGTGGGGAGCTACACCCCGGGAAGATCTTGCTGACTGTGAAACAGCACTGCTGGCATCTGGCCAAGGCCTAAAGCTATATGCAGCCCACAAGGAAATAGATTCTGATAGCAGAGCAGCCACGAAGCATTTTTGCAGGGAGTTCTATCAGATCCAGCTTCATTTGGAATTAAGTGATCACATAAAATCAGTTTACATAGTTTATAATATACCATGCAAACTTTTCAACCAGCCTCGGCCCAAAAGGAAATTATTGAAAGAAGGAGGGCAAGAAAAAAAATCTTGTGTTCCTCCAATCAAGTTTTCCAGACTGGAAAATTATTTTGCTGTTTTAAGCTGGCTTGATCCCAAAGAATGGCTTTCATAAAACTTGATCTACTTTCAAGGTCCCACAGGTGTGCCCTTAAGGTAATTAAATAACTAACTACAGCATAACTCAACTTTTCACTTTCAGAACCACACCACTGTGTCAGTGAGGAACCAAGCTCGTATCTGCTCACCATCACAGTGTTTCCAGGTTTACGTACAATGTTTTTTTTATACACTGACTTTATTACCTGTAAGCATACAGTTTTTCCTCAGAGTGCGAGAGACCGTTTTCAGCAAACATTCCACATCTGCACTGGACAGTTTCATCAACCTTTGCAAGTCTGCTCCAGAAAGATTTAACACCTCTTTTATTGATTTTATGTCAGCTGAAACGGAGAGAAGCTTTATAAATACTTCCCACTGCATTGCAGTCGTGCACAAAAGCTTTCTGACTTTGCACTGCTCATTTCCTTGAAGTTTACCTACAGTACATTCTGTGCAGCTAACCTTTACTTCGAATGGATCAAAATAATGCCACGGCATTTGGAAAATGACCACTGGCACGTGGCGAAAAGCCGTTGCTTCTAATTGCTCAGAACACTTGCTTAGGAAATATTAAATGACCGTTCCAAACATTAGCACAGCCCTGCGTGCCGACAGCCAGAGCATGCAGTCCCACGCAGGCAGGCACTACATGACGGCAGCTCACGTCCCCAGGCCCTTACCTTTCTTAAGGGCAGCAATCACCTTCGGGTTCAGGTCAAACTGGTCCCAGTCCATGTTCTGATACGGCACTGGGGCGAACAGAGCATGAGGCAATTGTTATTTGTTAAGCCAGGTATGCACGCGAGGAAACGTAAGCATGATTGACTGCGAACACTCTGTGGGAACATCGCGGATCCCACACTGCAGCACGCCGCGACCGCCCCGCTCAGCGCCTCGTCCCAACGCACCGGATTAGCGCCGGAACAACCCGGTGCCGTAAGGCGCGGCACTGTCGCGCGCGCCGCCTTTACGACAGCGGCAGTCGCACGAATAAGGCAGGAGGCCGCGCGCGCGCTCACCTGCGGGGCGCGGCAGCTGCCATTGGGCCTGGTGGCAGGCGGAGCGCGGAGGGAAAGAGAAGCGCTATTGCTAGGCGGCAGCTATTCAACGCGGCATTCTGACGAGAGTTTAAGCTCGCTGAAATCATCTGTGGCTACTCCGGCCTCCGCCCGGAAGGTCTCCGAACCGCTTAGCGCGGCGGACGCCGTCCACGGACAGCGGCAGAGATGCCGCGCGGCCCAACCCGAGATCACTTCAGTGCTTCCCCTCACCGGGCCTTACGACCTCCGCGCCGGAGCCGCCGCAGCCAATCGGCGGGCAGCTCGCTCGCGACGTCACAGCTTGCCGGCCTATCAGAGCGCCTCATGGCCCGGGCTCCCTGGCACAGTCAAGGACCGGGCGGGGCGCACTACGGTCCGGCAGGGCGCTGTTCCGGGAGGCTGGGCGGGGAGCCCCTCATTTCCGGGCCGCGAGGCCGGCCGCTTGTTCTGCGCACGCGCAGCGAGCCCCCAGAGGGGCGAGGAAAGAATAACACGCCCGCCTTCAGCCGCGAACGATGCAGGATTGGCTGGAAGTGTGTGAGCGGTCTCTATTGGTCCTCTCGAGTGGGAGGGCGGGGACTGGCGAGACGCCGCTTCCTATTGGCCTAGCGCTGCGCTCGTCCCGAGCGGTCCGCGCGGTCATTGGGTGGCAGCGCTGCCAGTCCCGAGGGGCGAGTAGCGGCGGCGGCGGCGGAGCGTCGGAGGAAGATGTCGGGCTGCGAGGCTCGCGACGCCAAGAAGTTGGTGCGCTCCCTCAGCGGGCTGCGCATGGTGCCCGAGCACCGCTCCGCCCGCAGCCCCTTCGGCCTGGACGAGCCGCCCTGGGTGCCCGACAAAGAGGTACGAGACCGGGCGGGGGTTCTCTCAGCCTGCACGCCCCAGGGTCGTCTGCGGGGCCGCATCGGGCGCAAAGCGCGCGGCTCCGCTTGGCGTGGCTTAGTGGCGCCTTCAGGCCGCTCGCTGGGCGATCGGGCGTTTCGGTCAGCTTTGCTTTTCGATGCTCGTTACGTGCGCTCTGCGATCCCGACGTGCGTCCGGGTTTGGTGTAACGTGCGTCGGTCGTTAACCCGTTCCCGCAGCCCGGTGCTGGCAGGCGCAGCGGCTGTTTATTTAGCGCTAGTTGTTTGCTTATTGCCGCCGCGCTGTGGCGTGGACTCAGGCCAGCACATTTAATTGACGTGCGGCCCCGGCTAAGCAGGAGTTGTGATGAGGCTCCGTGAGTGTAAGCAGGCAGGCGTTAAGCGGGGCCGTTCCTCCCGGCTGGGAACAAGGAAGAAAGTGCTGCCCTGCAGCGGGACGGGGCTGCCCGTGCCTCCTGCAGCCCGGCTGGGCCCGGATCTGCGCTGTGCGTACCTTGGCCTCTGCTGCCTGGACACCTGAGGGCTGCCGGTCATCGGGCTTAACAGGAGTGTGGGTCACGCGATCACGGAATGGTTGGGTTGCGAGGGACTTCAGAGCCCACCCAGCCCCGACCGTGCCGCGGGCTGGCAGCCCTCCAGCAGCTCAGGCTGCCCAGGGCCCCATCCAGCCCGGCGTTGGGCACCTCCATGGATGGTTATCTTATACTAAAAGCAGTTTCCTCCCTGACATTGAACGTGGCTTGATATTTTAGCAAGTCTCAATTATAGCTGAAGAGTTCCATTAAAAAAGAAAAGTGCTTTTAACTCAAATATGTAGTGCCACCTTAATTCGACTGAAAGTTGTTGGGGGTTTGTAGTAGCATTTATTTAAGCTAGTTAGATAATATATTTAAGAATTGATGTATCTAAAATGCGTTAATCACTAGTAGAGCTCAACTGGTGATGTTCCTATAGAGGAAATGCTGCAGTAAGAGTGCTGGTAGGATGCAGAGGTGGCCAAAGCTCCCAAGATCCACCTGTGTCCCAGATCTCACATGGCTGAGGACATACACCTGTGTGAGTGGAGCTACTGGTGGGGCTCTGGGCTCGCAGCAGAGTGGAGCTGTGCTTGATGTGGCCGTGTGACAGAGCTGCTCTCCTGATAGCAAACTCTTGCAGCTCAGGCAGAGGATTGGTCACATGTGGCTGCGGTGTTATCAGAAGGCATCTCCCACTGGCATCGTTCTGGCTGGGCGTGTTATGGCACCTGTTTTGATGAGCTTGCAAACGTTGTCACACAGTCACTGTGTTAATGTGCTTCACCAGGGGTAGGCTTGCATCGCTTCTCATGTCAGCTTGTTATTGTATATGCAAATAAAGTAAGTGAAGTGTAACTAAAGCTTCCTGTCTATCTGCATTGTTCCCACTTCTGTCTGGATCTAAAATGTTGCACTAATTCCTTATCACACTTCAGCAACTGCATCAGAAGTTCCTCTCGGCTCGTAACCAGTTCTTGTTGCTCCTGCATTATTACCAGCACCCAACATCTGGTTGCTGTTCCCTTTTCATCTTGATGTATGAAGTAATCTGATACCATTGACTGTGAAATCAGTATCTTAATAATTTTAATTAATTTTTATTTAATGTCTTGTTTTCTATCTTCTCGGTTCTACGGCAGTAGTTTTGAAAAGCCTGTGCCTTGAAGACATGAAAAGTAACTCAAGTGCCATGCTTTGTTTTCTGTAAATGTGAGCAGACTTAAGCAATCCTGCCTGCCTGCATCATAAGGATGAATGGGAAGGATTTGCCTTTAAAGATGTTCTCCAGTTGCGAGCTGTTACCAGGCCAAGTCATGATGCAAATGGGTTCTCATGGTTGTGGTTACTTAAAACAGAAGTGCCACAAAGGAACAACGTGTTGAGGCTGCTTGGATTGGAACAGTTCAGTACCAAAACCCTGCTGTGAGAGCTGCTAGCACGTGCCATTTCCTTCAGATTTCCAACTGCGCTGTGCATTGGGTTTGGTATTGGAAGGTTATTGGTATATAAGGTATTGGAATTGGTCTGGAGGTTAGGAATGTTCTTCTACAAAGTCAGTATGAAATGTGAGGAAGGATAGTTCTGTTAGTTGCTGAAGAGCAACTTGTGTACTTTAACCTAATGTTGTCTGCGAAACCTATTCAAGATGGGATTGAGAAAAGCATTCTCTCCCTGGTTTGTGGCTTGTGCTTTCTGATTTCTGTCCAGAAATACAGATTTGCTTGAAGAAAATGAATCGGACTCCTGGTAAACTCAGAGTGGTTTGAAATTCTTGCTGTGCCCAGCTCCCAAACTATGGAGCGTGTCAAAACTTAAATCAGTAAACCAAGGTCAGTTTAGACAAAATGTGGTGTTAGCTGTAGAGCACTACAGAGCAAACCTCGGCACTGCAGGTGCCGAATGCTGGCGGATCACAGTCAGTGTCTGTGAGAAGCAGCTTTTATGGAGCCACTGAGAAGGGAGGTGGTTTGGGGTGAGCTCAGTACACAAAACAGTGCAGGAGCACTTCTAGTTCTGTTTTGTACAGGATTGAGAAACAGCTTCCTGTGCCAGAGATTGCAGCGTGGTTATTTCTGCTCCATTACAGCGACTGCTGCTACTGATTTGTTAAGCCTTTTGTTTAGGTGTGTGAATGTTTTGTATAAAACTGGAGTTACATGAAACTGAAATGTTTCTGGAGATTCTTCTCCTTAGCTGCTGTTCTTCTGTAGCTGTACAGCGTGGGATGGTGACTGAGAAAGGGACTTCTGTTTCACACCAGAAATCGACTCCTGAAGCTGCTGTAACTGGAGAGAGTTCTTAGAAGATAAAGAGTTTGGTATTGAACTGTATTAATTAGAAGCAAACGGTGATGACAGTGTGCTAAGCAGATAGCAGTGGCTCAGCCTAGGGGAGGTCACGGAGATGGCATTCAGCTGAACTCTGTAATGGCCTGGCTGCAAGAGTTTAGGTTTCTACAGCTGTAGGAACACGGGAAAGAATGCGGCTATGAATACGTGCCTTTGTGGAGACCCGAACACAAGGAAACGTGTTAAAGATACCTGAAATGCCATTTTGGCAAGATGCAGTACTCCTTAGGGTGAATGATGTTGGCAGATCTTACAGGTTAACATTAATTTGTACTGTTTTCTAGTGCCCGAGATGTATGCAGTGCGATACGAAATTTGACTTCATCACTAGAAAGGTAAGAGACAAAGACAAAATATAAAGCTTGAACTGTTGCAATGCCAGTGGGGACTTCTGATATAAAATGTAGATGATTGAGTAGAATTTCATGCCAAGAGTAACGGATGTTACAATAGTTTTCCTTTGTGTTCTGCCTTTTCTGGGTACAGGATGAGTTTTTCTCACTCAATTCCATTTCTGTGACATTCCTTTAGCTCAGTTTGTACCACACAGTTTGGGTTTTTTCAAAGTGCCAGGTGCTACCAGCTGGGTTTGCATGAAAAGGACACGTTGGAGCTTGTGCTGGAGTGGGCTGCCAGCATCAGCACTGACACTGAAACCAACTTAATGAGCGCAGTTCTGCTTTCAGAGATGAAATTAGTTGTGGCAGTGTGAACTAACCATGTTCTCAGGTGTAACGAATTACAGTCTGACATGAAAGAGCTCAGTTGTTACAATGGGAAGAGCTGAGAGCCAGGTTGTCCCTCAGTTCTACAAGCAGAACAGGATCTGTCTCATGGTCAGAAAACGTTCTGCTGACCGTGGGGGTTGTGCGGCCTCTTGGAAAAGCCAGCACTGATTTTAGCAGAGAGTAACGTTCCTCTGTGTGAGTGCACTGACACTCTGTGAGCCTGTGCAGGTGGAAGTGGGACTTGAAATGCACTGACATAACTGGTGGTTTTCCATCTATTTTTTGGAGAGAGAAGGAAGGAGAAATCTTAAAGCGGACATAGGAATGGATTGGCTGCAAAGCAGTAATTCATTAGGCTGCTGTATTTAACTTCTGTTAACTTTGGGAAGTAAGTGGAGGTAGCCAAGTGTAGCAGGTACTTCAGAGGACTGCGTAACGCTCGGAAGGTTAACAGTGATCAGAACTGCAGTGTATCACTTCCTTGTGTCAAGCATTTGAGGCTTGCTATGAGCCACAAAGCAGGTCCTGCTTGCCTGGGAACACTTGTTCTGACACGAGCTGCTGTCATCTGCTGAAAACTTGCATCAGGAAGAGCTGCCAGGGCTCCACACCCCAGGAGTGATTGGAGCAGAAGCCACTTTTTGAAGTTGTGCTGATTTTGCCAGACCTGATTTGAACTGGCATTACAACTTGGTTGGATTTGCACTGTGCTGCCCGATGTTTCTGATAGAGGGAGGACTTCAGGTTTAAGCTGTGAAGTTCTGTGGCTTTTTTTCATGGGAAACATTTGAGAACAAGTTTAGAGGGAGAAGAACAGAATCTGCAGTTGGAGCTCGGAAGGGACCTAGAAACTGCTCTTCTCCATTTCTATTGCCAGTGAGGCAAGGAAGGGATTTACTGCACTTTGGGTAAAATCCTTTCAGTGTCTCATTGGTCTGCTTCAGAAGTGTGTTGTCAGTGCCAGCAAAAGCTTGCAGTGCTGTTCATACTGCACACCACTCTCAGGGCTCAGTCTTCAGAGTTCTTCCCACCACTACAGCAGCTAATTGCCATTCACCTCTTGGCTGCTGTCCTGCCCCTTCGGTGTGAATATTTCACAGCTGAGAACTTCTGGTTGTTGGGTAGGAGGATGTTTAATGTAAGAACTTCAACACGTTATTCTGTAAACAAATAAAACATTCTCTCACGCTCAGCATCACTGCCGAAGATGTGGAAAGTGCTTCTGTGACAAGTGCTGCAGTAAAAAAGTGCCTCTGCCTCGCATGTGCTTTGTGGACCCTGTGCGCCAGTGTGCTGAATGTGCCCTCATCTCACAGAAAGAAACAGAGTTCTATGACAAACAGCTCAAAGTGCTCATGAATGGCAAGTACTGACTGCGTGTGTGCGTTGTTTTGGTCTCACGTCAATAAAAATGCTGTGTTAAAAAACATCTGATTGGCAGCAAGATTAATTCCTCTCGTCAAGCTGTTGCACTGCCATTTTCTATCCTTAAGACATTTCCTCGTTGTGTTTCTTGTTTGCCGCTGAATTCTGTATCGCCAGCTTATTGAGATTGAAAACAAAAAGCCATTAAAAACAAAGAACATTTGAGTGCCTCTGAGGACTGATACGTGTGCAGTTGGCACTGTATTAAAATAGTCCATCCCTTGGCCGCATTTCTGTTGCACTAAACTAGGATGAAAATGCTTAACAACAGAGATTTTGATTTTCTTTTTGATGAGATACTGCGCTTTTTTTCAAGCTTTATCTGTGAGCTTTGATCTTGTGGCCTGTGGATGTGATTGGCAGCAGGACAATTCTGCACAGCATTAAAGCTACATGCAATAAAGGAATTCACATTTCAATTACATTAAAAAAGCTGAGTTTTCAGTTTTGAAAATACTCTGATGGTTCAGGGCCTTTTGATGGGCTTTTTATTGTTGGCATGTTACAGGTGTGTATAACCAGTATGCTAAATCACAGCCTGATTAGTTCCTAAGGAGATTCTAGGGCCCCAGTACAAGAAAGACAGGGAGCTGTTGGAGAGGGTCCAGAGGAGAGCCACAAAGATGATCAGGGGACTGGAGCACCTCCCCTATGAGGACAGGCTGAGGGAGCTGGGCTTGTTCAGCCTGGAGAAAAGAAGGCTGTGGGGTGACCTCATGGCAGCCTTTCAGTACCTAAAGGGAGCCTAAAGACAGGAGGGGAATCAACTCTTTGAAAGGGTAGATAACAGCAGGACAAGGGGAAATGGATCTAAGTTGAGGGAGGGCAGATTTAGGTTGGATGTCGGGGAAATTCTCTACAGAGAGAGTGGTGAGGTGCTGGAACAGCTGCCCAGAGAGGCTGTGGATGCCCCGTCCTTGGAGGTATTCAGGGGCCCTGGGCAGCCTGATCTGGTGTTAAATGGGGAGGTTGGTGGCCCTGCATGTGGCAGGGGGTTGGAGATTCATGATCCTTGTGGTCACTTCCAACCCTGGCCATTCTGTGAAGGAGGTGTGTTCATCCCTGCAGTGCACAAACCATATATCAGTGTGCTGGGCAGGTAATGGTGATGATAGTTTTTGAAATAATGTACATTTACCTGAATATTTTCCTTGAAAAAGTTTGCCCTGCTTGCATTGATGTTATGCAGCTGAAATGTGGTTACTCGTGGCTTACCACAGACCCGCAGATCTCAGAGCAGTGGTTGTTTTGATCTCCTCGGTGGCTTTGCTGCTGCTGCAGGTTTCGTGTCAGCAGCAACCTGTGTGTCTGCATTGAGGGGTCAGCGAGGTGCAGTGAAGTGGGAAGCTGGCAGTGCGGTGAAGCTCTGAAGGTGCGTGGTATGGATGATGGAGATGGGGCACAGGCCGTTTGGCGGTGCTCTGTGTTAGCATTATTTCCCAGGCCAACGCTAGTGGGATTAGGCAACAGAGGGAGTATGAGGTACGGAGGAAATAAAGTGGTAGGCGTGTTGTCTGCTTTAATTTATGAATCACTTCAATGCTGAGATAACTTTCCTGATGTCAAAAGGGCTGTTTTGAGCAGGTGGGAAACATAAGACAGAGGCAGAAGTTTGCTGACCTCGCAGTAAGGCTGAGCTGGTCTAAAGCGCTGCAAAAGGTGGTGTTTCGTATCTGTTAAGCACGCAGCTGACAGTCACATCCTGCCATTGATCCTTCTTTGTAATTTTGGCATGATAGCATCTTTGTTTTCGTCCTTCTCAAACCCATTCTCATTTTTCAAGGATTTATCTTAGATACAGTCCCTATTTGTACAGCATGCGGGTAAAGCAGCATCTAATTGCGAACGGGCGTGATGCAGAACATAACTAAAGACTTCATGTGTTCAGTGTGGTGGGTGCAGGAAGCAAAAATGAGTTATCCTTTGTGACACTTCCATATTCCTCCCTACATACTGCACTAGAATACTGAAGCTTTTCTTCTCAGGTGCGACGTTCTTTGTAACTCTGGGGACGTCGGACAAATCGGAGCTCATGGTCTGCCGGCTCTCCAACAATCAGAGGTGAGGACAGTTGATCGACACAGCACTTGTGAACACAGCTGTATTATTATACAGTAATCCAAACATTTGATATGGATTTGATATTGTTGACAGGAAAATCAATGATTTTTTTTTTGTTGTTGTTATAAAGATACCTGGTTTTGGATGGAGACAGCCATTACGAGATTGAAATTGTACAAATCTCAACTGTTCAGATACTGACAGAGGGATTTACTCCTGGAGGTAACTTTTTCGTTCAGTACAAATTAACTGTTAAGAATAATGTGGAGCTGTAATTGTTGTTCAAGCCAGACAGTGCATTTCTGGGTTATTGGTAGTTCAGGTGTAAGTGTGTTATTTACAGCAGTTGTTGGAATAGTGTTGTGCCTGGAAAACCTTCCATGTGGCTGCTGGGATTTTGGGGGAAGCCTCAGAATTCAGAAATGATTTTAGATGAGAGAATTTCTTGGTAAACCAAAGTAAAAGTGTTCATCTCGTCTGATCCTTTCTCTTGGCTGAACTTTGAGCTCACAGAAGGGAGCTGTCAGTTTCAGTTTCAGAGTCCAGCCAGGGCTTCTCTTCTGTTTGTACAAACAGTTCAGATGAGAGTAAGAGAGAAGCTGTTTAAAAATATGAAACGGTGCTCTTAATTTTGTTCAAGATGAAGGGGTGGCCAAATTAAACTGGTAACATTTTTATCAGAAGGCAGCTATTACTGCTTCACCTCTTGACACGTTTCATAGTATTTCAGGATGAACATGATTTCATTGAAATGAGAACAAATGGGGACAGGAATTTTAATGATTACTTGTTAGCAACATCTCTGTCACTGCTGGAATCTTTAATTGGAGGGTCTATCAGACAGCATGTTAACTTTAATGAACTTGATATTCAAATCAACCGAATGTGTTGCTGAGTTGCTTAATGCTCCTGTAATTTCTTGTTCATTACTATTCTGATTGCTTTATCTTTTTGCCTGCCCGCCTTCCTTCTTGATGGTAGAAAAAGATATTCACACTTACACCAGCCTTCTGGAGAGCCAGCATATTACTGAAGGTATCACCAGTACCTTTTGTGAGCACAGCTCCCTCCAGCATGCTGTTGTGACCCTCTCCCATCTGCTTTCCTATGCAGTGTCAGCTTATTGCTTGATGTGTGTCTGTTCAACTTAAGACAAGTTATGTTCCAGTACTGATAATTCCTTCCCATCTATTTAATAAACTGAGAATGATTGTTTTGTAACTCTTTGGAGGAGAACCAAAGTACTTGAGTCCTTTCTTTGACCACGTGTGCTACTGTCTGCCCCTGTAGAGGACAGATGAGAAACTATCTTCAGTGGCATGCAGCTTTGCACATCACCCTCTTTCAACAGAGGTTTCCTGAATTGTGCACACCAGAAATGAGTAATGCATTTCCTGTGTTTTGTTGGCTAGTGCCTGGCAGTTAGTAGACAGGGTAGATGCAGTAGACAGGGATAAAGATGGTGAACTGCAGTCTGTCCCACAAGAGGAGGAAGTAACTGTTTATAAACACTGCGTGCTTTTGATCTCATTGCTTTGACCAAGATGGTCTTTGGTGTCTGGAGATGAGGGTCCTGGCTTCCACGACCCTTTCTGCTCACGCAGGCAGTTTTTGTAAAAATGTCCTCCTGTGTACGCGTGCTGTTGCTGTGGCTTTAGTTTCTGCTCTGCTACTTCAGTAAATGAGCTCCCCAACAGAGTGAATGTGAAGCAGCAAAGTGCTGTTCTAAACAAAGCAGTTCAGTTCAATTTCTGTGCATCAGGTTTGGTTTATCTTAATTTCTATGCAGCTAGAGAGACACAAGCACCTTGTTATTGCACTGCTGTCAGAACAATGTCTTTCGTAAGGGATTTCCTTCAGGAAATAAATGACATTGTTGCCCGTTGCCAGGTACTCTTGCCAAATTCCCAAACGCTGCCAGACTTGGATCGACAAGGATCCCTATTTGATACTGGTCTTGCTGGACATTGGGAATTCAGTTTAGAAACCCCAGGCTGTGTTGTGAAACCACGTCATCTATTTGAGACAGGTGGTAATACTGAAACAGGAGGGTTTTCTCAGTGTGTGCACCAGTGGCTTTTACAGGTTCCGCCTCAGTGATTGCAGGAGAGAAGCAAGCAATACCACATCTGCCCATTCCACGTCCCACTGTCCACCTTTTGTCACTGCTTCCTCTGATGCTGCACCTGTTAGTTCACCCGCAGTTGTCAGTGCTTTGATTTCAGTGCTAAGATGCTCTCTCCAAACGTGATTATTACCTAAAAGCGTTGTGCTGATTTAGTTGGTAAAACATTGCTGCTCAGGATTTCTCCTGTTGTTTTCAGGAGGCAATACCCGTGCCATAGGTATGATTCTGCAGTATAAAGTACCAGGAGCAGAGGAGCTCACACAGATGAAATTTACGGCCAGTGAAGACTTCAGCTCTAACAAGAAGCTGTCAGCAAGCTGGCTGGCAGCTATGCACAAGGTAAGCAAGGCAGGCAAAACTTACACAAGGCTGAAGAAAGTAGTAGCAGTAGGGCATGCAGTCCGTGGAGCTTTCGTTCTTTTTTGTTGTTTTTCTTCTTAATGTGCAGACTTTAAGGCCTTGTTCATAAGAAAACAGAAGCTACAGCTGCTTGCTATGCCTTTAGCCTTATGCTGTTTGTGGAGGGAATTAGTTTGACAGTAATTTTTTGCTTTCACATTAGGCAACAAAACTTCTTTATGAGTCTCGGGACCAGTAAGAAATGACCAAACTGCTTGGGAGCAGACACCAGCCTCGGAGGACCTGCATCTCACCTTGTGCTAGTCTGACAACTGGTTAACACTTTCTCTTGACTTTTTCTCATTCCAGTGTGGTTCATTATGTAAGAACTGGCACATACAATGTATTTCTGTTTTGAACCATAAGTATTCACTATAGCGTGCAATATGTATACAATTAATGCTTTAAACAGTCTCACCTTTTAAGACTTTGTATATTTTGTTAAACCTTTATTGCCTTTATTGGCACTTAATATGAAATATGAAAGTGACCTGCACTACAGCTAATGTACAGCACAACTTTTGTAGTAACAATTATATATACTGTTTGCCACAGAAAGCAAACAAAGGTGTATGTCTCTTCTGCAGAGAATAGCTTTTGGGTATAGATCTCAGGTTTTTCCCTCTATCCAAATGTTTAAAATCAGTGTACAATAAAATCTGCCTTAGATGTGGTTTCATAGAATCCACTTGATTTTTTTCTTAACATATTTCACCAAATATCACCAAATTGGAATTACATGACCTTGAAACTTCCCTTCTGTAATAACAAAGCTTCCAGAATAATTTTTAGTTTTGTATTTTCTTTTTGGAAACTAGCTTTTGTTAATCTAACTGTAATGCTGTCTGGAATTGTATACATTTTACTGTACAAATATGAATAAATTAATTCACTTATTTAAACAGGAGGTGCTGCTTACTTTCACAACGTACTGTTGTGCTACCCTCTGAATGCGGGACCCTCATTTCAGTTTTAAGCCTTGCTAATTTGCTCAATCCTCTGACTAAACCTCCTGCAGCCAACGTCTTTCTCCTTCCACTGTCCTAGACTGGTAAAAATTGAGTGAGCAAACACAAGAGGCTCAGCTTTAAGTGTAAAAGACCCTTCAGAGCTTTTGTAGCCAGGTACGAAGTTGTTGCAGTTGGAATACCAGAGCTCAGTGTCAGGTGGTTCAAAATGGACATGGCAGTCGTTCTCTGTACACCGGGTACAACAGTGAGGAAGCCTCAGTCAACAGCCAGCTGGTCTTTGGTCTTTCCTGCTGACTGAGGAAAGGCACCTACAGGTGCCACGTGGATAAAGGTCAGGGAGAATGCAGCCAGCGCCTTAGCAGTACTTTATTGTGCACAGGTACATTTTCTCTGCATTAGTGTATCGGAGGCTCTTGAATCATGACATTCATGTAGCAAATTCTTCAACAATAATACCCTTTCACTTTTCACCACAATATATACAGTTAATGCTGACCTGTGGTAAAAGCAAGTTACAGCACTGCAGAGATGGATATATAAATTATACACAGAACTTGTACATGAGGAATTAATCAAATTGCATACTGTTTAATGGGAGAAAATTACAAGAAATATGGCTACAACTTAACTTATAATGGGAAATTCAAAATATACTTTTGGTATATAAAATCATGTACAATTAAAATTCCAGTGAAGTGCTTTTTTTTTCCTTTTTTTCTTTTTTTTTTTTTGCTTGAAACTACAATGTAGTGGAATAGATTATTGCATAACTTGCCTCGGCAACAGCTGTAGGCTGCCAAGAACCACAGAAACTGTCCTCAAATTAGCTATTGCCTTTCTCAAACCCTTCTTTATAACACCTCATTTCTGTCTTCTCCTTAAGTCAACATCTCTACACACCTCACTTTCTACTTCTATTCAGTCCTTCATTTTTTCTTCTAGACTGACCTGGGCAGACTTAAATTACACAGTATTACCCTTACCAGACTCTTACCTTTCTCAACTATTGCACTTTCATCCATGCAGACATACAAATCCTTTAAGCTGCTGCAAGTTCACTATTAATTGTTCTGTCCAGAACAGTGGTTATCAGGGGAACCTTTACATTAGTAGAGGTAACACTGGTGCTGTAGGCTGAATAATAAGAAAATATAACACCAAGTGAACTATCGTGTAGGGGCTTTGAAAAGTGTACTAATACTGCTGTTTGGTTAGTTTCTCTGGCTTGATTCTAAATGCAGATTTATACTAGATGCTAGACTATGTAAAGCTTTTGGTGGGGTTGCCTGAACTAGGATGTAAGTGCAAAAGCACGTTAACACTTCATCCCAGCCTTCGTAAAGCTTTGGTGAGTACTTACTGATGAATGGAATTGGTGAAGATCTTGTGTCCTAGAACCCAAAGAGTCGATGAGTAATGAGAGAACTCAACATTCACTGGTATTGAACAAAACATCCAAAATCCTGACATGGGACAGTTACTGTGGGGTTGGAGCAAACTGGACAGCTTATCTGCACTTCGCAAATGGCACCTCTGGACATTTAACACAAGAAAGCTCCTACCACACCGAACTTCAACTCAACACATCGCTGTAGACAACAGTTGGCGGAACACTGTAGGTATGGAGATACAGCTCTCCTCATCAGTGGCGGGTCACACAGAACAGGATTCATTTACAAACTGCAGATCTTGAAACTTTTGGATGCTGTCCATTTAACAAGAGAAAGCACCATTAAAACTAAGTATCATAGTTTTATTTCTCCGTGTGAAATGATCAAAAACAATGGCTCCAGTGTATGTTTTAAGTTTCCAGTTACCAGCAAGGTGTTGCACCGTTGTACAACTGAATTCAAGCAAGGGTTCTCTGTCTAGGTTTTATTCGTGGATATAACTGTAAAAACAGAATGAAAGTATTAGGCTTTGCATGGTTGACAGCAAATTAAATATAAAATCAATTAAGTTATAACTAAGGGGTACTGATGAAACCTGAGTGTTAAAAAGAAGAGTTTTAGGGGCATGAGGGCTTTTTTATTTGTTACTGAGCTACAGCAAGTTCTTCTTCTGAAAAATTAAACCAGCAACATCAGGATGCCAAGGGCTGACTTATTTGTGCAAACAGGAGCAGATTGCTTCTCTGCAAATAACTTGGTTCTTTTAGTTGAAGATCCCACCCTAGGTTAGGAGATTCTTTTATGGAAATACAGGAGTTCCCTGTCAAGCCCCCAAAAGAGCTTATTTCACACTCTCTGTCCACTTGGTGGCCTTCCATTCCTGGACTTTTTTGATAGCAGTGTTACATTTGCTGAGAGCTGCATAAATGACTTGCCTGAAGCTGCCACCTTCAAGGCTTTTTCCCATTTTTAAGTATAAATGTATGTTTATCTCGTGCCAGGTATTAAAAGCCTTCCTAAGTATCTTCCTGGGCCAAAACTTAGGCTGCCTAATAAAGCCACCACACTTCAATGGCAGAGCATTGAGACGATGACCACAGATCCTACGTCAGGGACAAGTAGAACAATGAAAGGCAAGTGGTAATTCAGCACTTACCCCAAGAAGATTTTTAGGCACATAGCCTTCTTTATCATTGAGGCGGGCCCACCACCACTCCGTCTCGTTGTCATCCTTGCGTCTCAGAATAGTAATGGCATCGCCCTCGTGGAAGGACAGCTCATCGCTGTTCTGGGCTTCGTAATCCCACAGTGCATACACCACTCCTTTGTTCATCACTCCCAACTTCTCCTGCACTCCTGTGAACAATAAGTTAGCGCAGTAGATGGCAATCTATTTTTCCCCGAGACTTCTGGTGTGGCTCAAACATTAGTCTCATTATTAACATTTCATACACAATTTTCAGCAACAGCAACTTTATAATCTTACTTCTATTCAAAGGAGGACAAAAACAGTTTGACAACTGTTTGAGCAAAGCAACTTTATAGAACTGGTGTGTTTCTCAAAGGCCTCGGTTCCGTACCAGAGCTTGCACACACTGCATACAGCACTGCTTGAAGCTTCTGAAAGTCTGCACAGTGTCAGAGCCTGAATTAAGCTTATCTCCATCTCCATAAATTAAAGTTTTTTCTGCTCCATCAAGGTACTTTCCTTGCAAAATATGTCTTAGTAACTCAGCACATTCTCTAAGCTAATTATTCATAATGCATACATGTTTCTGAAGGTGATCTGCTAAAAATTTGTTGGAATATTTCTGTCAAGATACTTGACAACTCACTGGTACTGTGAAAATCTCCCTGTGGAAGCATTTCCTTGAAATTAAACCCAACTGTAGCGTCAGATGGAGTCTGCAAGTCAAGAAGGAAAGGACTACGAGCAACATAACAACCAAAGACTGCTCTGTTTTTACCATTTTGAAAGAACAGGTGCAGGGCAGCCTGGAGCCCAAGCAGATGTTTCCTTCAGGTCAGTGCCAGAAAAGGGACAAATTTTAGAAGAGAGAAAACAAGTTTGTAAAGAAGTGTCATAGCTCACCGTACAAGAACTGAGAACACTGGATATAACCTTCTTCCATCTCTTCACACTTGTCTGCAGCAGTTTCTATATCACTTATAGTTGAAGCAAAAATAGCTGCCCCAGATTCAACCAATAGCTTACAGAGATGAACACTATTGCAAGAAGCTGCACAATGCAAAGGTGTCCTGAAATAAAGCAAAAATGTAGGAATGAAGAAAAATAAATGCCAGGAATCCTAGCTATTTTGTCTTGCAATACAGATTGTCTGTTATTAAAGGAAGTTGTTCTTTATGGGACACGCATGCACTGTTCAAAACAGGCCAAATGACTCTGAGTGGATTCCAGCATTGGCCTGACTCCAGTAAAGCCAAACATAAAATAGATGTCATTTTATGTCGACTTGCATAGCTTGCAGTGCTGCTGGATATAAAACCAGTATTTTCCAATATTAGGAAATTTGAAAGGCAAGATAAGGTGGGGACAAACTGCTCAGCCGCATGGCAAGGTTCCACATCTCCTCCAAACTCTTGACAGATGCTACATCTACCTGCTAGGCTGCATTCTTCACAAAATCTGTGAATGGGTTATGTGAAAATGAAACTTCAATACATTTTTGTCATTCATTATTTAAAGTTTAATTACTGCAGCCTGTGAACAAGAAATTCACCTGTACTTCTAAGTAAAAACAAAACGCACCATAATTTATAATGTGAACCTGCTTGCCCGTGGGCTCAACGGGCCTGTCAACAACGGAGCTTTGTATTGGAGTTTGTTACCATCTCAAAATTAGCAAGTCCTCATTTGCTGGGGACAAAGGAGAAGGAAATGGATCCCCAAGCAGGTCCCCGCTAAATACTGAATTGGCATCAAAACAGTGTTCCTTCAGATGCTAAGTTAAAAAATCTTGCCACTTACCACCCATCACTATCTGCTGCATTTACATTTACTCCAAAATCAAGCAGGAACTTCACAATGTGGTGATGACCAGCACACACTGCATTATGCAAAGGTGTAATTCCTTCATCATTGGGCTTACTGGGATCGTCAACCTATGGAAAACATGAAATAGTTCAGCACTTTTTTTTTTCTCTAGTATAGAAAGAAGTTCCATTTGTTTGGAAACTCACCTCATATATGATTCTTTGTACAAGATCAAATTCTCCCTCCAAAGAAGCATCTAGGAGAAGGGCCAATGGATTGAACTTCACTCTCAAACCGTGGCCTGTTCTTTCAGAGTTAGGTTTCTTCAGGTTGGTACGTTTGGTCTGAGTGGAAACGAAGGTTTAAAGGCATTATTTCAGGTTGCAGGAGTAGTGCAAACCATCCAGTTACTCCTTCACTAGAGAAGGAATCCCATCCTTCAGTGGTCATAAGAATGAAGCAAATGATTCTATTATAAATCCTTTTAATAACAGAGTTGATATCTTACTATATCTTAGTAAAGATCAGAAAGCATGCCAACATAATCCAGCTACTCCTATTTAAAGCCATTGAGCACAAGGAACAAAGTACTCAAACCAATGGCTTTTGAGCACCACAATCCTAATGTGTATAATGTGAGCTGGATGTGTCTCTGGTGGATGGTCTGAAGCACTGTCAAAGCTTAGATTAGAAAGCATGACACAATTAAGCACGAGGAAGGAAGTTTTCCCTTGAATTAACAGAGGTGTCAGCAGCAGGTCTGTACCAAAAAGCTTTGCTGGGAGAAAAAAGTCTATGAAGCTCTTTTATGTAACATTCAAGATGACATAACCAGAAGAAACATCCTCAAGATTGGAAACACATTTAAATGCGTTTTGAGAATAAACTGTGTACTTTACAAGTGTCTTTGCTGCTTTTTGGGAAAAAAAAAAAACTACTAATGAAAGCTTTGTGGAGCACTTTAAGCCTGCAGAATCACCAGACTTGTTTTCTCCTATTAGTATGGGTATTTTACTTTAAAAAAAAATAAACCTCTCACAGTATGAACAATATGTGAGTATGAACAACATGTGTTGCTAGCATATCCCATTCTTCCAGAAGTGTCTCGGCCCACGCATCCTCATGCAAAATGCACACAAAGCCCTGTGCACACTGCAGTCAAATTATAAAAAGAATGTAAGCTCTTTGCAGAACCTATGAAGCTCTAGGTGAATCGAGAAGCGGAGATGTGCCTTGAAATCAGTGTTGCAGTGAGTCATGTTAACAAGAAAGAATAAATTACAGTTTTTCTCCCTACCTTCAATTCTCCATCTGCTGTAAACTTTGCTAACAACAAAGTCAACTAGTATTTAAAAGATTTTGGTGCAGCTGGAGGAGGAACTTTGAAAGCAATTCAAATAGAGACAATCCATTAGAAAAAGATTCCTGCTAAAACAAGTCATCTGTGTTGCTGTTAGATTTGTTAGATTTTAGAGCCCTAGTCTCTACTGAGAGAGGAAAAGGAACACACTTCTCCCAGAATAGCTGTTTCAGCTTGTATGCTAATTAAGAATTTCCACTGCAGCAGCTTTCCCATTGGTTCATACAGTTATCTTTGCAGCCCTGGGGAGATTAAAAAATATTTTTAATGGTGCTTCATCTACCAGCATTAGCTCTATGACAAGTATATCCCACAATAAGTTATCGCCTAAATTGCACACACAGCCCCACACTGTGCATTTATTTTCCATATTAAACGGGCAGACTCCTAAAGAACCTGTTCTATCAGAATACTATTTGGAGTACCTTTATTTGTTCTTATTTTACTTTCTTTACTAAATCACAAAACTTCAAGTGCAAGTATGCCAGTTAGCATAAGCTTAGCCTCTTCCAGTTATGCTTTAGCACACAGTTAATTCTGCAGTTGACAAATTTGCCCTTTTTTTAGTTACTTACTGGAGGAAGTGGAGGAGGAAGAGCAGGTTGCAAAGGAGCTTCCTCTTCTGCTGGAGAGCTGACCTCAGGCGTGGGACTGGACGACTCTTCGGTAGAAGGAACTATAGCAACGTTGTTGTTGTTATCTTCAGTTGTCTCGGATGTTTGATTTGTAGTTTCAGTGCTTATCAGTTCCTCAGTTGCAGGGGAAGGTAATTCATTATCATTGGCATCTGATGAAGGGGGTGGCTCATCAGGAAGGGGAACTGTAGGTTGCACAGAAATAGGTTCCTCGATATTGCCATTGGTACTAGCGTTACCATTATCAACATCTGCTAAGATACCTATGAAGTCCTGGGGATTGCCTGGCTGGTAAAAAGGGGCGCTTTCTATTCCTCCAGCAAGAGTATTAAAGCGTTGATACAGTAATTTTTGTATATTTGGTCCACTTGGGCCTTCTGGTTCAGTGATAGAACTACGCTTCTTTAACGGCCTAGGAGCGTTGGCCAATTTTCTTCGCAGAGCTTCAAGGTCAGCATCGCTTTGATATCGCAGGGGTGAATGCACAATGGGAGTGAGCTTAGTAGGACTGAGAGGGCGAGGAATGTTTTCCACATTGCTATTTTCACTGGGTGGTGGAGCATTTTCCAGCTCTTGGTCTTTTTCAGAGACGTCAGTCTGAGGCTGAGATTGTGGCTGTGAGGAGGTCTGGGCAGGCAAAGAGCCGTGAAGGAATGGCAGTGGTGAGGGAGAAGTTGAACCAGATTGTAAGACAGGTTTTCCATAAACTGAAAAGAAAAAAAAAGAAAAAAAAAAAAGATGATGGAATACAGTGAAGAACTATTTCCAAATTACATAATGAAATGTTTGCAAATACACTGTATGGTTTTGTTGCTATTTGTTTGACATCAGAACAGAAAAAAAATTACACTGAATCTACCAAAACGAAAACACATAGTCAGCTGCTGGTGATGGCAATCACCAACTCTCTAGACGTGATTTTTTCAACTTATCTATAAAAAACCAGAGTATCCAGACATATTGTTCTAATGGTATTCTGTCTTTAAATAAAAGGTAACTCAATGTATGCTTGTCACCCCGAAAATAAAAGGCATTTTTTTGTTGCCATACTGCATACAAAAATAACTTTTCTTATAAATTTAAGAGGTTTCTCAAACAAGATGCGATTTATACAAGTATGTAAACTAAGCTCAATAAATACATTTCAATTGCTTACTGCAAAGGTAAAAAGCAAAGTGACACATATTGTACCTGCTTTTACTGACTTATTTAAGGTGTTATATACAGCTTGTTGATAATTCTTTGGTGGCGTTGCTTGCTGAAGATACATTGAGTAGATGGAACTGGAGTTCACCGTCTGTGGCCCTTTTCTGGGAGACTGAGGTCTTGATCCTTTATCAGCTAGAAAAGGTCTGATAGCCACAGTTAAAGGGAGTTCTGGCCTGCCGTCTCCTCCTGGAAACAAGGGGGGTCCAGAGGGTTGGTACGTAGGGCTAGGAGGTACAGAAATTCTCTGCTGGATTTGCTGTGAGGAACTGGGTTGATGGACGCTGCTTGGCGGCGGAAGCGGAACAGGTCTTTGTCGATTCGCTATACTAGTTCCAGGTCTGGGCAGACTGCCGTCCTTCCTTCTTTCTAGAGAATTTGTAGAACCTGTTCCTAAGGGAACTGGGCTTGGATAGGTCCCATAGTTTTGAGGCAACTGCTTGCTTACACCGGGAATCGTTGGTGGTACTTTCCCCAAGTCAAGACCCTATATAAAACAATAAAACACTATGTACCACTTAATTACATAAAACACTTGTGAGCAAGAATACTCCTCTTTCAACAGAACAGACTAATAATCTTGCGTGGCAGCATACAAGTACTGTGCTCCTTAATACTAAAAATTCTAGTTGAATTTACCACAAGACCTTACTGTATAAAAGCATCTTCAGTTATAATAAATTAAGCAGAATCCAGAACCATCTGAATACTTTCAAAGCCTAAATGACCAGCTCTAGCTTCTAGATATCAGTACCTATTTGATAATAAGTTTTATAATGTATAGTGTGATAATATTGACAGTTTAACAAAACAATGTAAAGGCAAGGTCTACATTTTTTAAAGAATACAGTGTTAAAAATTCATGAAGTTCATTAAAATTCACATTAAAACTAGAACAACAGTGCAGACAGTCAACATCAGCTGAAGGATGGATTTAATGGCATTTGTTGTAAGAAGTATTTTTACTAGAAAAAGACCATGTTGAAGAAGTGGTAATCTACATCAAGGAATAACAGCAACAAAATATTTGAATTGGAAAAATAGGAATGTGGGGAAGATTAGGACAAGCAAAGCGGGAGAAAAGAGAAGATCGGATATGTGAGAGAACAGGAAGGAACACAAACTGCTAAACTGGAAAAAAAAACAAAACAACCCCAAACCCAAAACAGAACATGAATTGTAAATGTAGTAGAATGGAAAAGTAGAAATAGAAAGGTAATTCATTTGTAATGTTTTAAGTAATTATCAGAAGGGAAATGTGTAGATATGTGAAGCAAGTTCAGCTATAAAAGCCAAAGGTTCATGATTTTCGCAAAACAGATCTATAAATACACCACAGAGGAAACTCACCAGCTTATCAGTACTTCCTAATGCTGAAGCTGGCAAAGGTTGACTGGATATTGTTCCTTGTTTTAAAGCAGTATCCATGCTCGATTCTTTCCAGTCTGTGTTGGAGATCTGAGGGGGTTTTACCACAGGGGCTGAGCTCTGCTTAAGTAGGGGCCAGTTTCCATCATTAGCTTGAAAACAGATGGAAACATTAGATTTACAATACAACCATTGTAAAGAAGCAAAGCAACATCTAAAACAGCAAGTTAGATTACGATAGGATTAATTTGATTCTAGAAATCAGATAGATTGTTATGTTCGATTCCGAAATCAATACTGAAAGCCCAGTTCCTCTACTTAACACGATGTGTGTTACCCTTTGGCACACAAATTGTAACAATTCTACAGAAAAAAAAGACAGTTTAATTTTTTGTGTCAGTATTGCACATTCATTCTACTATTAAAAGGCAAACTCAGCTTAGAAAAAAAAAGTCCTCACAGAAACACTTCAACATATTTCTTTTGATACCAACCAGAAACACTGTTGAATTACTCCACGTGTTAAATCTATGTAAGCTCTGTGTGGATTTATTCCAAATGTAAACTATTGTTACTGGATTCATTGATTCATAACAGGAAACAAAAGCTCATCTCAAGAATGTGGCTGAACAAAGCCATACATTCCTCTGCTGGAAGTGACTGTTAACTTACCTTTTGTTTTTCTCCTCTACACACTCACCTGATCAGCACTGCCTCGGAGACTTAATTTTAAAAGAAATGTTTAAATTAATCTGATTAATCTGATAAGAAGTCACAGTGCCAAGATACAAGTCATGGGCTTTCATCTTCAACGCATGAAAAAAAATCACACTTAGCTGTATGTAAACTGAGGCAACAGATCCTTAATGAATCCTAGATGCTTCGATATGTTACTTCATTAACTGGAGTGGACTGCCTGCTTTCTGTTCCCAAGCAAGTGAGCTTCAATCATCTCACAATTAGATCTGTTTTACAGTAACTACACAGATCCTTGGTTAGATTCCAAGGCTTTGATCTGCCTCTGAAAGATTAAGCTTCGTATTTCTCTGAGGAGATTGAGATCACTTCTCCTTCCCTATTCCCTAATTCCCTGCAATTATCTCAGTAAAGCACTTTGTATAACAATCTGTCACACATAACTAACTTCACCAGCAGATGACAACTAAGGTGAGGGGAGAGTTACTGAGATTTCTGGACCCCACAGTAAGCCAAGGCCAAATAAAAACCTGGTATTTAACGACAACATTTCCTGTTTATTTTCAGTTTTAAGTACTTAGAAAACAGAATCAGCAAGACTATTTCTAGGATTCCGTGCCATTCTTTGTTTAGTATAGATAGCAGTCTAAGCATAAGATGCGAAGAAATATCCTAATTTCACTGAATATAGCTTTGGCACACTATTTTCTACACAGGAGCCTTATCCTCTTTATTGAGCATCGCATTTCTTCCCCCGACTGAAATGACAAGCTGAAGATTTCCGGCCAACTGCTACCCAGTTTTTCACTGTATGAATGTAAATTCATTCTATGAGCTCACACGAGGTGTGTACAGACTGTTCCAACATACAGACTGTGTACAGATGTTCCAATCATATCGTTTACTTTTAAATGAAAAAAAAAAAATTAAAATTATACCTTTGCATATGAGCTACCCTACTGTTTTTTAACCATTCACAATTCCAAGGAATGGTCTGCACATATATAGTAAGGCAATAACCTTTCAAATTAAGATCAATTATGTTTCAGTTACAAGAAAGAATTACTTTGGAGCAACATTATTTTTGTGGTTGGTCATTTAAATAGTAGTAACATTGACAATATAGTACATAATCCACAAATCACCATTCCAAGTTGCAAACTGTCAGGAAGTGATGCAATGCAGTATCCAGGAACACAAACTGTTGGGTTCTTTAGTTTCTTGTTGTTGTTTCTTTGTTTTATACCACCCATCTGGTTATCAAGAGCCAGACCAAAAGATAAGTCTGTCTAAACCCTTTTACCCTGAATAATGGCAATTTTTAAAATTCTATCTTACTATACAAAACACTCCATAATTGTAGTAAGCATCCTTAGCCCTTAACTTAGCACTTAAAGAAACAACAGCAAAAATCCTCATGAATTTAATTATCTTACCCGCATATACAAGCTCATACTCTGCTAGAAAGACAGTTACACAAAATATTTTTGTAATCCTTCTCTTTCCAGATATGATCATCCCTGAATTCTGCAGTAACAGACTGTAAATAAATTCAGACTCACTCTCCTCTGACTTCTCTCTTTTGTTCTTACATATATGAACATCTGAGTGTAACTGTTTCCATCTTTACATCCTTCATATTACAATCTGCCAGACTTGCAATTAGCATGCATTTCCTATGAGTGCTCTTTCAGAAACTCCCACAACTCCAGCTTGATCTCACGCACTTTACCAAGCTGCTGTTGCAATTTCCAGTTGCAGTGCACTGTGCCAGAGGTTGTGATAGGTGCTCAGGAGGCAACCAAACAGCAACTGCCTTCTGGCCTTGGTTTGGCTGAGCTGCTCCCAGACACACTTAGCCACCTGATGGCAACACCCTTTTGCAAGTCCTAACGAGTTCCTGCTCTTAGCTCTCTGGTAGCCATTTCAACCAACAGGTTTCATTTTATCTTCCGAAGGTATCCTGTTGTCTACCTGCTTTTAAGACTACCTAGCACCCAGTGCATTTCAACTCCCACCAAACACTTTTCTATTTACATAAGTAAGTCAGTGGCACACATACACACAACAGTCCTTGTGTACTTTCTCTGACTTCACCTAAAAATTATTGTAGGTCCAGTTCCGTTATACTTACTACAGCAAGTGAAGTGTAAACCAAGTAATAGCATTTTCATCCTATCGAAGACAGCAAGATTCTTGCTACTGACTTGGAGAAGCTGAGCTTTTATCCCATCTCCGGGGCGGGTGCAACACAGAAACTTTGCATAGAATAGGTGAAGTTAAACATGTATGTGTTATATCTATCTAATCTGAGACACAGTAAAACATGCTTTGCTGATTTATTGCCACAATTTTTCTCTCCATTTTTTCCCCAAGTTTTTTTCAGTGAAGAAAACTCATCTCTAGTATACTACTGCAGTACTGTAAGAATGAATTTGCTGCAAATCCCTTTCCTTCAATGGTGAAAAGCAACATCTAAACAATTTTACACTTCAACAGCATCTACTGCATAGCACAACACAGGTTCTTAAGATGCTGGTTAATACGCATCTGTATGCAAGAGCTCAGATGACCATATTAAAAACGGAATTCTTAGCTAGCCAAAGATCTTCTACGGACTCACAGTGCTGGGTGTCAAAGACAGTAGGTGCCAGACGGATGACATTGTGAACGGCAGACTGAAGAGAAGTGGGAGATGACAGAATAGGATCCGCTATTATGTCTAAATCAGAAACCTTCCAGGTGTCTGGAGATTTTTTCACACACCCCCAGTCTGTTTCTACTGGACACACCAAGGCAGATCCAGTTACACAGAAAAAGAAAGAAAAAAAAAAAAGTGGTGGAGAAATTATAACAATGACAATGGAGAAATCAGAACAGGAGCACTGAGACAATGACAAATAAAAGCATGACAGCTGGAAAAAAATATCTCACTTTTCTTCTTCTTGGGAGAGTATATAATTCTCCTTACATGAATCTACCAAAGGACATTCTTCAAGTATACTCAGAATAATAAGGACAAAGTCAGTCCTAAGGTAGAATAATTACTTTTACAAAAATCAAAGAATTCTCATTCACAGATTCTCATAACATTGTGAATTTCGTCTGCAAGTAGGAATATGTATCTTGCAAAGCTAATATTTGTAAAGAGGTGAACTATTTGTTGCTGGTGAACTAAAGTTATGAACTGTTCCTTCTATATATAGGGGAAGAATCCACATGTCCAAACTCCACACAGCTGCAATTCTGCCCTTTTAGTCTCACAATGAAATACTTCCATATTATTAAGATTTTTCCATAAAATTGCGAAGATTAGATTTCTATCAAACTGAGGATATCTTTAGATCACTAACATCAATAGAAAACATGCTTTTGCTGGAGGTTCAGGTCTTCCTCCTTGTTTGGAATCATGCTGCAAACTTTGCTGGAGTGCCCAGTTTTAAGTACTGGAATGCATGTGAGCATTTCAAAAGCTCTGCTGGAGAGGTCATCCCTTACCTTATTTTCAGATCTCTCCTAAGAGATCATGAAAATCAAGTCTTGAGGTTAAGATTGATAGGATCATGAATGTTTATTTGTATTATGCATGTTTATTTTCATACATAAATCAATGAATTGGATAAACCAGTAATTGTATTTATTTGTATTAAGTAAATGAAGCTAGCCACTTCTTAAGAAGTGTGATTTTGTTAAGATGTGACCACAAGCATGCTTTACAAAAATGAAATCTTAAGGCAAAAATGTCACGATCTGCTTTTGTCAGCTTAACATAAAACAAAAAGTGTTCTCTACTTTACAAAATAAATAGGTTATTTATGGGGGACATGGGAAGCAATTTCGGATATCAGTTATGTCTCTGGAGGGACAGCTCTGTTACTAATGAAAACAGATACAAATAAACAGAATCAATACTAACATTATTCCATGTCAGAAATGCCTCAGTAAGCACAAATTCTCCTATCTCAGTTGGAACAAATACCTCACGTAGCCTTATTACATTTTCCTATTTGGTCTCCTTCTGAGAACTAATATTATTTCTACTTGTTCAGTAGCTTTGTTTTACTTGATAAAAAACAACATACCATAAAGAGCTGTTTATAATATTGTTTGCCACAAAGTTATTTCATTACTATAATCAAAGACACAAAAATGTATTAAAGACAGAGCAGTTAATTCACAGAATATGTAAAGGAACATGCGCTCCTTTTATTGGTGTGTGTACCACAAAGTAAAACTGCAAAGAAAATACTCTCCTTCTTCTTAGGAAAATTAATGAACTGAATAAAAATGGCTCATATCAAGTGAGCAGTGCCCAGTCCAGAGAAAAGTACCGACGACATATGATTCTACTTTTACTGCTATAGAGATTGTCCCAAAACAGAATCTTCCTTATTACTCCTTTCCAAACAATGTATATTAATATATTAATACTTAATATATTTATTTACTTTATGTACTTTATTTACTTTATGTATTTTATATTTATCATATTTTTTATATTTTAAAAAATATTTTACATACTTATATCAACACTTACCAGATTTTGATCTTCCATGTGTTGCGCTAGAAGCAATGGTGAGAGTCTGTGGTTTGACTGGATCTACTGGCACAGCATAAGTGCCAGCACTTGGAACTTGGATGTAGGGTCCCACTGCTGCCACCCTTCCTGAAGCACTCAGAGATGACTGGGGTGATGAAGTTCCATTAATACGATTCAACTAAAAGTCAGAGAAATTGAAACGTGAACTTCCATTTAATTTAGGCATTCATCCATCAACTGGAGGTCTACATTTAATTAAATACAACCATGCACTGGAGCTAATTCACTTTAAATAAATTGCTATACTTAATGCTTCTATGCAAAAATGGAACTAGAAAACCAAATTTTATTCCCTAAAACCAACTCCTCAAAAATTAAATTTCTCAGTAGTTGACATGAGGAAAACTGTTACTGTATAATGTTTCTTTACATTCCACCTTTCTTGGGCAAATTGATCTTTTTTTTTTTTAATTATTATTATTTTCTTTTTTAAGTCAACATCTGCAGCTGGGAATACATATGGAAATCCAGAAGTGATCTCTAGAGGAATGGTCTACTTTGCAACTGATTTCTAGTCAAAGTCTCAGACAACTATTAGGACTAATGTCATCAGACCAGTCACATTTTTTATAAGTTTTCTGCTCCATGGCAAACAAATGAAGGACAACCCACCTTTTTATCCTGTTATGCTTTGAAGTACAGCCCAAAATCATGCTTTCTTTTCTACAGATCTAAGCTACTATAAATTTTAATACAGTATGGTCTGTCACATAAGGAAAAATAAAAGAAGGTACATTCTGTCCGACAGTTTTCTCGTATCTGTGGAAAACCTTAAAATAGTTTTAAAATGCTTGCTACTTAGCTGGGAAAAAGTGACATGCTATGTAGTCTATGTAGTTTTAATAGGCTGCTGATAAACTAAAGTGTGGCCCTTTTAATAGTTTATCTTACAGGAATGTTTTCTTTTTGACGTGCCTCAACTTTTTTCTTGTATAGTCGTTCACGCAGCTCGTTGATTCGCTTGTCCATCATTGCCACTTCCATGTTACGTTTGTTTAAGAGTTCTTTCTGCTGCTGGAGCTTGGAGTTCTGCTCCTGATTAAGCCTGTTCCTAATCTAAACAAATAAACAAACAAATAAATACAGACACACTTTTAGGAAAGTTATTTAATTTTGTCTGTTACCTAGTTTGTTTTGCCACAGTGGCAAATTGAATATCACTGAAATGTTAAGTGGGATAAAACTTTTGACAGTAATTATGCTATTGATTCAATTTCCAGTTCCACATGAAATTTGGATGAGTGGATAGGAAGTTAACTGAACTGCAAGGACTAGATGCAGATTTTCCTCTCTATATGGAAATTAAACTGAATCCTCCAAAGCAGGTTTCCAGCAAATTAGGGGATGAATTACCTTTACAGTTTGCCTTACAGTTTAAATCAACTATGACATCAACCATGACATCCTTTATAATAATTTTATTTGCATTCCCACTGGCATTTTTTCATGCCTTCAGTGGCAATCATTCCATATTAAAAAATAAATAAATCCTGAGGCAAGTTTAAGTCTTGAAAAACGTGTATGGGATCATTATGAAGCACAAGTAAGAAATCTTAATCAATTGAGCATCTTTGCATTTAGAAATACATGGAAAGCAGATGCACCTTTTATAAACTGAAGGAGGAAAAAAGGACCTATATTCCTAATTTCTGAAAATGTGAGACAGATTGTCTGGTATGTTATGTTTGCTCATGTAAAGAAATGGTTAGACTTATCTTGAAATTTAAGTTATTTTTTAATGCTAAATATATATTAGATCTGTTTCCATGTCACAGTAGAGTATGTGAATAAATTTTAAATCTCCAGCGCTGATATGTTGTCACATTAATTATTCTGCAAATTTTCTACCAAAAAATGACAAAACTTCAATGTGAATGAATATTTAATTACTGACGTGAAAACTACACTGGAGATGAACCAGTGTTTTTTGAGAAAGATGTATGATAGCAGCACAGTGTATACTGGAATATTGTGCAACTACAGTGCACTACAGTGTAGCAAGTGAACACAGTGCAGCCTGTATTTTTGATGATTTTGTTAAAATGTTAGTTCATGTTAATTTCTGATATAGCCATGACCTTACACATTAATAACATCCCAACACACCAGTTTTATGAGACTGTAGTACCAAATGCCTATCCATAATGGCAGTAACATGACTCTTCTTAATCTACATCTGTCATTTTAATTGTGTCTCTGTGTTACTTACCTGTAGCTCTTGATATAATTTTTTTAATTCCACTGCTGCAGGTCCTGTTACTTGTCCATTGTAAGACTGAAACCCATTCAGTTTCCCTTTCCTTAAGTCTTCCAGTTGCTGGGTAAGCTGATCCACTTTCAATACTGCAGCCTGTAGCTCCTGCTGCTTTTCCTGGAACATGGCACTTATATGCTCAATTTCAGTTGCTAAAATGAATGAGATAATAATAAAAAACAAGTAGAGGGGAGTATTAATTTATAATTCTCTAAGTATTGGCAAGTACAACACACTAGTTTTAAACACAGTATAAACATTTAAAAACTTACAATGTGTTGGAAATTTGTTGATGTTTATAATAGTTACTGATCACTTAGTCTGATCACTTGTTCTGAACAGGAATTTACACCAAGTATACATTTTCTAGAAGCATGGCACCCTCTCTATGACAAATAAACATTCCATCTGAAATCCTGTAGCATACACACCGTTACACCAGTTATACAGTGAACAGACAATGAAATAAATAAAAACACTTAGAAATTCTGCATACACAGATTGCCATTCATGATCTTGCTATAATCCACTTGTCCTCTCATGGCACGGATTTTTTTCAACTTTGTCTCCTGGGTTTCAACGCGTTCTTTCAGTTTTTGAAGCTTTTCACTCTCTGACACAGACTGCTGCTGACGACGCTCCTGCTGCTTCAGATAACGTAAACGTTGTTCCTAACAGAAGAAGATTTTAGACAAAATGTACTTATCACCCATTAAAAAATGGTACATACATTAAAAAAATGGTACATACATTAAAAAAAAATGGTCTTAGTAAAACCCACCACTATGATTGGTGTTTTTTTGTGTGTGTTTGCTTATTGTTATTTGTTCATTCTTGCTTTCCAGAAATCAGAAAAAGTTATATCTAGTGAAAACGTACGGCGGTCTTCCTGAGGAAAAAAATCCTCTCAACTCTTGTTTTAAAGCACAGAAATACACAAGTTTTTAGACCAAATATACATATTTACATATTTACCAAATTTACATATACATGCAAAAGAAGCCCTGGCCTGAACCATCAGACACAACCGTCTGGCCTCTGGCATTTGGTTTTGGCTGCTATTAACCCTTTTCCTGCTGTAGCAAAAGGAACTTTCCATAACTGTTATGAAGCTTCACAAAATGTGAAAGTTATGCTCCGTCTCTGAACGTGTTCAAGGCCAGGTTGGATGGGGCCCTGGGCAGCCTGGACTAGTATTAAATGGGGAGGCTGGTGGCCCTGCATATGGCAGGGGGTTGGAGATTCATGATCCTTGAGGTCCCTTCCAACCCTGGCCATTCTGTGAAAGTACACAAAATACACCCAACAGACGAGTCTAAACAAGCTGATCTACCGAAAGATAATGTTTCAGATCTAAATAACAGTCCTGCCATTGGTCACATAATGGAAATATTTCTGTTTCCTGTATTAGTTTCATTAAAAAAAAGAACAACGGAATTGTTATATTGATTCCTTTTAAAAGATGCTGCATTGTACTCCAAGCATCCAAGGCACGTGGCATTTTGTACTACCTGAACTATGTCAAAAACATTAAACTCACTCCCCACTCCAAAAATCTACTCAGATTCTCACATCTCATAGATTCTGGAAACATAGTAGATGAATATATATGAAATGGTATCTCACACCTGGTACCTAAGGTGAATGAGCTAGTAGAGATGAGCACAGTCAAGTGCAGTCTGCCAGAGATCACAAAACAGAAAGAGGTAGAATCTAGCAATATTTTTACCAAGATACATAACTATTGGCTTGACACATTATCATTTGACATGCTATCATTTACAGTGAAATGTTTTTACATTGCCTAGCTAAAATTAACTTGGCAAAACAACAGATTTCTCAAGCTCCTTTAACTTATGTAAAATGAATTAGTGCATTTTCCATATCCAAGCAGACTTATGTTTGCTTATGTTTAAGTAAATTGCATTTGTTACAAGTCTCCATATTTTGTTTGCTGTTAATTACCTTAGCAACCAACATTTGCTGTTGGTTTTCAATCTGCTGTTGTTGTCGAGCAGCCATATCTTGAAGTTCAGAAAGAGTGAGTTCAACGCGTGGATTCCCGACCTGCAAACCAAAAAATGTTACGTCAATACATGGAATGTTCTGACACTAGAATTTTCCTCAACAGAGGAGGCTAATGCCTCATTCCAAGCTCTCAGAGGACTAAAAATGACAGATATCTATTAGGGAATAAGGAACCTCAGAGCAAAAAAAGCAATAAGTGGAAAAGCAGAGGAAAAGGAACACTAAGAAACAAAGCACAGAAAAATGTCCTCATCTTACATTTAACTTTCCTAAGATGTGTAAAATTGGCATTCGCTGATACTGCACGTACTGTAACAGACATGTGAGGAGGTATACTAAACAGAAATTGGAACCTGAATCTTCTTTCCTACCATTTTCAGTGTAAGTGCCTTGGTTGCTTTAACTGGTGGATAGCATTATTTACCTACAAGTACACATGAAAACATGTAATTAAAGGCTGTCGTGAAGCACACATCAAAATTTCACAGAATCACAGTATGGCTTGAGTTGGAAGGGACTTTAAAGATTACCTACTTCTGACTGCTCTGCCATGGGCAGGGACACCATCCTATAGACCAGGTTGCCCAAAGCCCCAGCCAGCCTGGCCTGTAATGCTTGCAGGGATCTCGCATCCACAGCTTCTCTGGGCAAAGCTGGAGTATTTAAGATAAGAAACTATGAAAAACAGTTTGTGCAAAGTGAACTGAAGTGAAGGTGATCCACTTCCGATGCCTGAGCAGAGCCTGTTTGAAGAGACAAGGCCCCAGCCTCAGATCCCCCAAGAAAGACTCTCTGTATGGCCTTAGTGTAAAGACATCAGGATGCGTTTTGCTGCTAATCTTAGTCTGACAGACCAAGAAGAATGGCTGTCCCAGACAAGAAGTCTTGCTGGGAGCTCAACAGGAAGATTTCAAATAAAGGTTGTCAAATGGCAGGGCATGCTGTTCTGCTCTGGGATCAGTTAAATGTGTGCTAGAGATCTTCATGGTTTAAAAAAGGGAAAGAAATGCTTATAATCAATGACAGCATTTTTGTTACTGAGGCAAGATTTAGAGAAAGCCCAAACTCACAGAGGAAAGAAAAAGTTACACGAAAATTTAACACTGGCAAATCTGAATTCTGGTGACAAAGAGATTATTTAAAAGCTTCATTTTAGGAACAAGAAGGACAGTAGGCAATTACATAAAAATATATGAGGAATCTGTGGTCTTTCTACATTGTAAACATTCAAGGCATTTGATGGAAGGCCATAGATATTAATGGAGCCTTATCACCTTTTTGCATTTCAAAACTAACAATTTGTTTGCAAAAAATCAAAGTAGAGAGGCATTACTGACAATTATTTGAAGTCTACATAATGCAATGCCAGTGTGTGACCCTGTTATATGTTTTTAAAACTGACCACATTGCTTATGTTCACTGTTTTGCTGACAAATATAACTGATTTAAATCCATACATTAAATTATTCCAACCTCTTTTTTCACCAAGCAATCACAAAAATGTATGGTGTAATAATACAAATTACAGAAGGTGGCACTTGCAAATACTTGCTTTGCTACTCAGAATAAAAACAGTAATAAATTAAAAAGCCACAATCTTAAGAAATGAAGATTTTTTTCCTGAAAGAGAATTTCAGCCTTTGAAAAATTACATCCCAAAGTTGCAAAGTTAAAAAAAGCCCAACATTTCTTGAAGATAGTACACAGAATTTGGTCAGGTGATTGGATCATTGCAAAAAAACAGATTAGTGCATTGTAATAAATAATGCAGCACCTTCGCCAAGCTACAAGGCTATGCTATTAGAGAACTAAGTTAAAATTCCATGATTTCCTATCTTCATTACAGTCAATGAATGTTAAAAAAGTAAAAAGAATTAAATGTTTTGGATATATTGAGAAATAAAACTCTTCAGGTGATTGCTTACAAAATGGAACACAGTCTAGAAGTTTTACAGACTGAGAGGAAAAAAAAGGAAACAAAAATAGAACTCCAATTAGTATTTTCTATTTCAACACTGTGAGTGAATACAGCAGTTTAAAAAAAGACTGAACTCAGTAGTGCCTGTTTTTGTTGTTTTCTTCTACCACTAGCATTACTTACGAGAGAAGAATCTTTCACAACATTCTCTAAAGCCAAATAACATGCGTGCACTTGTGTTCACCACCTAATATATCAGAGAAATATTTCACTTTTTAATTACAGACAGAAAAGCTTGAAATGGGTAAGAAAACAAGGAAATTTTTTCAAGTGCGATCCCTCAAACAAAACCACTTGAGAAACTAAAGTAGCATAGGAAAGCCAGACGCTGCTCCTAGGACGTATTCATGCTCTGCTGCATTCCTTTGGCATGGTCTTTCACCAAAAGAACATAAACCTCTGCTGGACTCCATACTTAAGTCTTAAATGGGGCTCAGAATGGACTGAAGTCTACTGGATCACTGATTTTAAAAGAAACAGTGGAGAAAAAAAGGTAGCATTTTTCCATCACAAATATGGTTTCAAAAATAGTCTGATGCAAGTTGTGCCTATCTTTCTATCACTGGGAAAAGTCTTCCCAGTGCTTCTTTCTTTTCTGCTTTGATTATCAGTTTAAGTTTACACTGAGAATTCATTCTATTTCTGCTTGCGTTAGTACTTTTCAGTACTGTCCAAGAAATAGATGCTCCTTCCTGCAAAGAAATCTTGTTTAAAAATATGTCCAGACTGAAGAAGTGGGACACCTGTGTAATGATCAAACATTTTTCAAGGAAAGAAAGCCATTTTACTGAGTAAAAATTACAGATTTCCTAAGTGAGATGTGTAACCCTCAGTGTACAATGACATTAAGGAATGGTTTGTAAAACCACCAGAAACAAAAACTAGCTTGATCTAAAAGCTCAGGATTGTTACTGCTTTAAAGAAGCATATCTGAAAGTCCATTTGACAATGCTTGAAAAAAGTACTGCATCACTTTGTATTATGTAAAATAGAAGAAAAATTACAAGATGAATGTTAATACTAGCTTCTTAAAGAAGCTATGAACTGTAGTAAAATATTCTGTTTAGAAAATGGAATGTCTGAAACTAACTTTTATACAGAGCAAAGCTTGAGAAACACTGCTAATTAACCACTTACATGTAAACGTCCTATGAGAATCTTTTTATGTTTACCTCACTGAATACAACAATACCTGTTCTTTCCATTTTAAATAACTATACTACATCTAGGAAAGATAAGAATAAACATTTGAGGAAACAAAGTTTTAAACCTGTAGCTTCACTCTGAGTTTCTTCTTTTTCATCCACATGATAGTTAACAGATCAAGCAGAATTCCTCTTCAACATCAAGTCAGTTATTTTCAGAAAGACTGGAGCTGATTTCAGGTCTCCAAAAGAGGACAGCATCATTTTTGAAAAAGTATGAAAATGAGTGCATCTTTCTCTTGCAGAGATCTATTTGAATCAATTTGTTTTGAACATCTCATGTTAGTTGAGTCGGCTTCTAACCAGCTGCATGCAAACACTGCCGCTGCAAAGAGTCAGTCCCAGTCCTTTCTTCAGAGCCCCATATAATGCAAGGCAAAGGGATCAGTGTACTTTCTCAGTTCCTTAACAAGGCTGTTGGTTCCTCAGTTTCTTCAGTTTGCAACGTTCATACCAGTCATTAACAATTTCATACATGAAGTGACTCACTTTTCATAACAAACATAAGCCTATTACATTTAAGGTCAGACCTCCTCCTTTTTCCTGCAGCAACAGGAACCTACCTCCCACAGAACTGCCTTCTAAAGGACGTACCAAACAGCCACTGCAAATATCTACTCCTACAGATTCCACAGATTCATTTGCTACGTGGTGATACATCAAAGGAGACAATTTTGCTGATTTGTAAATTTCTTTTCATTGATTCACAGAAGCACTTACACATAGAGATGAACACCTTAATAAAATCCTGTTGAGCAAACACTGCGTTATTAGGCACAGAGGTGTTATTACATATGTTTCACACAAAAATGCAGTACACCTATATTCCATAATTTCTTAGGATCAACAGAAATCTCAAAAAAAATACTGTCTTTATTTTATTTAGCATGTCGCTTTAAAAAGTTACGATGAGAGAGAGAATTTGTAATGAACTGCAGTTTCAGCATCTGGCATTATCCTCCTCTACAAGCCAGTATTTTACCATTTGATGATTAATATTTTCAGGACAGGTGAGATGAATGGAACAGTAGTAATTAAATAGTTTGGAAGCCAGATTATAAGCAGCCTCAAAGCAAGTCATTCCTTAGATATTTAATTAAGAGGAAGAATCTCCTAATAATGAATTCTGCACATTAGCCTTGTCACTCTGAAAGCTCATTTTTTTGATCCTCCTTGCTTTATTTCTGTCCTCACATAATGCTGTTCTGTCTATCACCACAAACTCCTCAGTCTCTCTTTACTCAGTCTACATGCTTCTGAGCAAAGAGGAAAAGGTATACTCCCTGGAAAGCCACAACAGTAAATGAAAAATTGCATCTGAACTCAAATTAATTTCTTGACAATCAGAATGTATTTAGTCAGACATTCAAAGCATAAAGGCAGATCCCAAAAGTTTTTTTGTTTTTATTTCCATCCAAAGTTAATCTTCTAAGGGAAATCAAAAAGCTATGGGAACTGACCTTTCAAAAAATATTTTTTAGAAAGGTGATATGGATGTGGTTTGATTTTGTGCACTTCTCTGCCTTGCTGCCTGAGCCATAAAAATACTTTGATTTTTTAAGTTTGCATTTCTAAAAACAAAACTACTCTGAAAATAACATGAAAAAAAGTCCACCAAACCCACACCTGAGAATGCTGTGTTTTCAGAAAAACACAGAAAAAGCAAAACAACAAATACTCCAAAGCTTTACAGGCACCATACTGACTGGCAATCTCATGGTTAGGTTTGGCAATGCCTAGCTACTCAAATAGCCAGCATAGAACATAATTCAACCAATTAACTGAAAAAGAAAACCCAAACAACACAAGCATTTATCAACCATTTCCTGCACACTGTCTCCACAGATCTTTCCCTA